CTGAGAATGATCTGATCTTACATAAGATGAACTAGAGTTAGCTATCTTCTCAAGTTCTGTTAAAGCTGCTGCAGGGCCTGATTCAATTAATCACTTGATTATTCAAAATACATATTTCTACTTAAAGAATGAATATTTTGAGCTCTTTTTCAATCTCTTGAAAAATGAATATCATTCTGAATGCTGAAGAGAAGTCACTGAAGTGATTCTTACAAAATCTAATAGAAAAACTTCAATTTCTAAGTTATATAGAGTAATATCTCTATTAAACTGTCTAGAAAAGGTTTTGAAAAAGATAATAGCTACTTAACTATCTTTTATAAGCTCTATTAATAACTCTCTTTTATTCAGTGAATAAATGAGAGATAGAAAATAATATTCTGCAATTAACACTGTTCTCTCAGTTGTTTATAATATTTAAATAACAAAGCATGAAGATCTGGTCTCAACTGCAGTTTTTATTAATATAAAAGAAGCATTTGATTATGTTTCAAAATCAAAGTTAATTCAGACTTTGAAGATGTTAAAACTGTCACTTTCTCTAATAAAATGAGTGAACTGTTTTATATCTAAGAGAATCATATAACTTTTCTTTGATAAAATGAAATAAGAAAAGACTAAGATAAAAATAGAAGTACTGTAAGAATCTTCAATCTCACTCATTTTATTTGCAATATACACTGCATATCTATTCAAAGATAGAAATATGAATATAGTATAATCTCTGAGTTATATAGATGATATTGATCTAGTCTACAGCTCAAAAACTATTAAAGAGAATTTGAAAGTAATTGAAAAAGCTGTAAAGAAAATCTTTGTCAGAGCAGATATTAATTAAATTTAATTTAATATAAATAAAACTGAGTTAATTCATTTCTTTTCTAGATTTAATAAGAAAGAACTATCTCTAACTCTTTTAAATAGAGTGATTAAACTCAGTTTAAATATTAAATGATTAGAAGTATGATTAAACTTCAAGTTGAATTTTAAATATCATATTCAATAAAGAACTGTCAAGATAGAAAGACTACTGAATAATATTATCAGACTATTAAATACAGAGAGAGATCTATTCTTTCAGACTATAAGATAGTTATATATAATCTATATTATCTCAGTAGCTGATTATGAAGTTTAAGTTTAATGAAATAATCAAGAAAATTTTACTGAACTCTTTCAAAGTCTGTAAAACAGAGCTTTAAGAAGAATTCTGAAAGCATTCAAATCATCTTCTATTAAAACAATTGAAATTGAAGCTTCAATTTGTTCTTCTACTATTAGATTTGAAAATACCTGTATGAACTATACTCTGAGAGTTATAAAGATAAGCTTAAATTATATAATCAGAGAAAGAGTCTCTTTCTCATTTTCATCAGTTAACTCTGAAAATGAACTGAATTGAAATAGATTTCTTGATTGAAATAAAAATAATTCTTTAAAGAAAATGTCTTCTCAACTGTACAGACTATACTCACTGATTAAAAATCAATTTTCTTCTTTAAATATTGAAAAAGTTGATCATGAGAAGTTATCTCTCTGAAGAGAAAAGCTTGAATCTCTTATAGACTTGTAAATAAGCAAACTATCTAAAGAGAAAGAATATAAACAGTATTTGAAGAGAATTTCTACAATTAATATAAAAGACTCTATTCTAATTTATTCAGATGACTCAAAAAATAAGAATTTAAATAGATTAGATATAGACATTGCTTATACTGAAGATAATATTAATTTTATCTCAGATTTCTGAAATTTAGACTGTGAATCTGAAGTCTTTGATACTGAACTATTTGTAATAGTGAAAGTTTTCAAACTTATTGAAATAAAATCTTATAAAAGAGAAAATAGTTTGAAAGAGATATAAATATTCTCTAATAGTCAAGCTGCTTTAAAAAGACTTAGAAATAGTCAGATTTATAATGATTAAATGAATCTTAAACTAATCTTAAACTTCATTTTAAAAATTCAAAAGAGAAGAATATTAAAGCTGATAATTCATCTGTACTGAGTTCCTGCTTATATGAATATTTATAATAATGAATTGACTGATTCAGCTGCAAAAAAAGATTCAGAATTAAGCAGATCTATTCAAAAAATTGTGTCCTGATCTTTTATAAAGAGAAAAATAAAAGAATCTTATTTAGATAAGTGAAATGAAAGCTGGCAGAAATAAAAGAAGAGTATACATTATTCAAGATTTGAAATAAAACTCAAGTGAAAATCTTGTTCAATTAAATATAAAAAGAAAATATTCTCATCTATAATACAGCTGAAATTAGAATATAACTATTTCAAATCTTATACACAAAGATTTAATGATAGATTTAATTCAATAGAATGCTTATTCTGCAATGCAAATGAGAATTCTGAGTATATTATAATACACTGTGCATTATATAATAGTCTCAGAGTCAGATTGAAAGAGAAGTATAATCTAAATTAATTAAATATAAGATTCTTATTCTCAACTGAGACAGGAATTAAATACTTAATAGACTTTCTATCAGAAACTCAAGCAGCTATAAGAAAATAACTGAATTCAGAAATATCTGAATATGAAGAGAAGAAAATTGATCAGATGTAGTCTGTTAAAACAGCTATATACTATCTTTTAATAATTTGTTTCACTACAGTCTCTTATTATTTTACTTTACTTTTTTCTTTCTATTCTTTTCTATCTATCTATTTAATATGTCTATCTTTAAGACTGTGTTCTCTTTTCTTTTATCATGTCAAATGATTTCAAAGTATTAGAAGATGTTAAAATACTGTAATTTGTAAACAGTTTTTATATTCTGAGCTGGAATTTTCTGATTTTGTATATCTGAAATTGATGAATGTATAATAGTTAACTTTATAGATATAGGAAAAACTCTGAGAACTTTTAGTTCTCAGGTAGATGTCATAGTCTCTGACTGCATACATCTATAATTGAAGAATAATAATAATAATAATAATAATAGTTAGAAAAGCTCTGAAGGCATTCTGATAAATACAGAGTCTTATCATTCTGCTACTTCTATAATACTTCATTCATTTTACTGTTTATCTTATTTATTTTCTTATTCTTCAAATTCTTGTTAGTTCTCCGCGAAATCTTTGACAGAAGACACTACTATTTTATATATAATATTCTCTCTCTAGTTATAGAACTGCTCTGCTGAGTTACATGTATCTACTCAGTAGAGTAATAATTAAGAGAGATGTCAGATTTGCTCTCTACAGACTGACTACTTCTGTATAAGTGAGATGTTCACTGATTACTTGATAAATGTCTACACATATAAAAGACTGCACAATAGATAGATCTTCATAATATAATTAACTACTACATTATATTACCTTTATCACAATTCAGAATACATAGCAATCAGAATACAGAGTAATTTAAAGTTAAATATAATTACTTATTTAAATATGATAATACTTCTTAGCTGTATAATTAAATCTGAGCAGTGTAATTCTTTTGATAGTACTCTCTGTAGAGAATGTATGAAAGAAGCAGAATGAAAAAAAGAACAAAGATTTAAAAATTAATCTAAGCTGTATAAGTCAGAGTATTTAAATATTTTTAATAGAATATATATAATATTACATTACAGTGTTTTTTACATAGAAAAGTTGATTTTTCTATACTAAATAAAGTATATTAATAAATGTATAGATTGTAATAATTGTAGAGAAGAGTATAAAGAATGTAAATATAGTAGAAAATATCTGTAAAAAAGAGAATAAAGATTAGTATCAGAGTCATATAGACTGCAGAGTAAACTAATCAGTGAGACTATAAATTTCATATTTAATCTTATTTAGACTAATTTTATACATTTCTTAGTATGAATTCTGCTGAGATTAATTATTAAAAAACATGCAAAGTAACTATTTATCAGATCTTAAAATGAGACTATAACTTAGAAAAAATAAAAAAGTAATCTTATCTAATTCTGTTTAGTCTCAATCTTGATATAAAGTTACTATTTTTAAACATTTTAAGGTTTTTTTAGACTGTTTTTAATTTTTTAGAAAGTAATAATTTTTGATAATACTTAAATAAGATTTAAAGTCATTTAAAGCAATAAAATGAATTTAAAATAAGAACTAAAAATTATAGTCTTATTTTAAAAATATAATAAAAGTAGATAGTAAGTCTTACTGAAATAGTATAAGACTACTATCTAGTTTTAATACTGTGTAATAAAATTAATTAAATTAATAATAAAACTATTAAATATTCTGATTCTAATCTCAGATACAGTTATATAGTCAGTCTATTACAAAGTCTATTTATAAATTTAATAAAATATATATAATATTATATAAGATTATATTACAGAGTATTTTACTCAGAATAGTTAGTTTTTCTATAATATATAAAAAGATTATAACAAACTGATTTTTTTCATATTTTATACATATTTATTACAGACTGTAATGAAGCAGAATTAAATTATATTTAAAATAAACTTAATATTCACTTTCTCATTTCTTATTAAATTTAATACCTGTTATAATTAATAGTTTTTATTACTTTTTTCACTTTTATTTTTTATTTTATTATTTTATTTTCATTCTCTGTAATCACTTTTTTTTGAATAAAAAAACTGTGATATTCACTTTTAAATTATATTATAATATAAGTCTTAATATTTATAAATTACAAATTAAAAAGTTAAAATAATGAATATTTATTAAGATATTAATATTTAAAGTTGATTGTAATTAATTTACAAAGGTGAGTATTAAGTGAAAATGAGTATTAAGTGATTGATTACATTACACTTATTCATAAATATATTCACTGAAATAATATGATAATTATTATTATAATAAACTACTTGTATGAAAAAAAGTAATATTAAAACATCAAACAGACTACTATTTATATAAGGAAAGGTGGCAATAATGAAGGTTTATACTGTCAGAAGTTAAATATCCACTTTCTGTACAGCCCTGGCACTGTACGGAAAAAATCACCGAACAGGCCCTAATATCTGGGCAGTGGCTGAGATTCTGAGATAAGTTATACGAGTCCTTTTTCATTGCCGGTTTGGGAAATACGGTGTATTCCCGGATTTCGGAAATATATTCTGCCGAGACCCTCCCCGCTGACGTCTGACGTTTGTCAATCAGGGTTCCGATATCCCGCTCACAAAATTTCTATCCCCGCTGCCAAACATTCGTGAACAATCTAATCTCTACGATTGCTACTACATTTCATTGTCCTCAGGTGCCCTGGGGTTCCGATTACCGTCGAGGTGGCTATCCTTACTTCAGCGATGTTTGATCACTCCTCATAAATCTGGCTCCGCACACATTTTTTCCCACTTCTTTAAATCAGCCATGCCTCTCGTTGAGATAAGGGAACTCTTATCGTTCCCTGAAAACGGAGACAATGCTACGGACACGGTGATCAATTATGTTCACTTCAATCGGACCGCGCTAGAATATTTCAATTATATCCTCTATTCCAATGGAACTCTATCAAACGGCTCGAACTGTTGGCTTTCATTTGGCATGTACCAGCCTTCTATGCTATCAAACGGATCATTTATTAATGCCACTTCTTGTTATTTTCCGGTCGAGGGCCTCGAGGCCAGGGGAAGTGCCGGGATTGCTTTCGCTTCGATGTTTGCAATAACGATAATGTTCACCTTGATAAACCTGCGGAAGCATGGGAAACGGTTCTTACCGTTAGAGAAACGATGGAGGGTCATTGGAAGGAGATGGCAGTGGTATTGGATGCTCTTCGTTGCAGCCTGTGGCACGATAAGCTGTTTCATGGGCATTGATGTCGATCGGAACTACTTGCAAGGACTTGCCCTTTCTCTCCAGAGTTTGTTTTTTTACCTGCTCTTACCTGGACTGCTGGCTGCAGTATGGGAAGGAGTCAGGCATTGGTACGTACTTAAATCAATCTATATGCGCAAATGATTCTATTCCTGCGTGTATGCTTCGGCTTTGATCGCGACTAACAAACGTCATTTACAGGGGCTCGTGGCAGGAACGGCAGATCTGTGACCGCGACACCGTTGCATTCTCGGAGGCTTCTACGAGGGAAAAACAGGAATTCTACTTGCCATTGATTTTCTACCTTTTCGGCTGGCTTAACTTCTTCATGGTCATTCCCAGAAACTGGAACTCGATCCCAAAACAACGCAGCGAGGACCAAACAATGAGCGTAGCGAAGCCATCCGCAACAGACGGGCGTTTTAAAGCGGGGAGCATTCTTGCGGCCGTGTGCTTGGTTATCATCTGTTATAGCCTTGGGCACAGCGTCTACAGATACAAGGAACGACCTGTAAACAGGTCCAGTTTGATTACTTTCTATTTAACCTCTGCACCCTTGAAATTCATCATCTGCATCATTCTAACAGGCCTCCGCGTTGGATTTGGGGTTGCGTCCACATTCTCCTGGGATATTTCCCCCGTTAAATATGACGGCAATGCCGGTTGGCTCTACGGGCTTGGCTATGCTCCTGCATTACTCGTTCTCGTTGTTCTGAACATCTGGGGTTACATCGATCCTAATGAAGACAAGTACCTCATTGAGCAACGCCGTGAACGTGGACGCGCAGCTGACGCTGAGCTTGGTATCGAGGCTGGAAAACGAAAGCCAGCCTGGTGGCGTCGATTGCACCCTGACTTCCAGCATGTGTCTGGCAACGATCCTAACGCTAGATTAAAAGCCCTGACTACTGAAATCGGAGGCGGAAGGCCTACGCAAAAGAACTTGGAGCATTATATTGAAATGGGAACAATCTCTACGGGCACGCGGGACCAGAGTGGCCATACCTATGATGTGGAGAGTCCAAGCAAAATTATACCAAACGATCCAATAGCGGACTCGGTCTCAAGAATTAACACTTCTATACCATTGAATCCGACAGGTCAGAAAATGCGGCCTCCTAGTAGGTCGGGCAGTCAGGCAACACTTTCATCCGGAGAGACGCTTCATCAAACTCAACCACCTCAAAAAGTGAGGAGTATGTTGGATGTCTGAACAATTTTGGTTTATTATTTATAGTATCAGTTTCCTGCGCCCGTTTATTTCTTGGAATTTTTCTATATACATCGTTCATGGTACATACAGTCTGGAAAAGCTTGGCGAAACTCAGGCGCTTGGGATCTGGGAAGGAGGTGTGTTCGCGAAGGCTCGGCGATTATATTGTTAGGCCACTGGGCCAAAAGAGCTCAATCTCACCACCTGTGTGTGCTGATGGTAGAGGGGTTGAACCAACCCGGGACCCCCAACATATATCAATCGTGCCGCGCCTGAATAGAGGCGCACACAAAGCAAAAACGGCTTCCTGATGACCATAGGATGTTGGACTGTTTCCAACCTCCGTTACGACCCGGTTGATGATTGATTCACGAGAACGCTGGCTGTGGATCCTCAGGGAAACAAGGAAATATGAGTTTTTCATTACTTCCTATTTTATTTTTGGAATATTGGTTTATAAATTGTGTACGACTCTTAGAGATCTACTACCCCCTAAATTTGGACATGTTTTTTGCATTCGACCTTAATTTGGAATATATCACTGCAAACTGGACTCAAGACATAATAAATATATAATTTTTTTATCCATTCACTCCTGCCAATAAGCCCCAATACGCTTCGGATCCATACATGAACTAACAAGAATCCTTTGATGGCTGGAGAACTGTCAATCAACGCACTGCATCTCATTGAATCAGCGTTTTTTCAGTCTCAGTTTTGTAAGGATCTGTTTCACAACCTCCCCGATCCTTCGGGCAAGATCTATTTCTATCTCAATCGTCCGCTACGAAGTCCATGGAGAAAAATAAGCTTTGCAACCTTTACAATTGGACTTTCAAGTCTATTCGCTAGAAACACGAATCTTCGCCGATTTTATATCGCATAGATGACAGGGGATAATCGAGTTGAGTGACATTCTTGTCAAGATATCTCCGGCTTGGTCGACAAGGATTTTTGGTCCCCCTCCCCTTCTCCGAAATTTTAAGTAGTCTTTAGCTCAGCTTATGGTTTGAAGCTGTCATGTTTTAGATCACGGTGTTAGCCTTGAGCCCCTACCCTCATCTTGCGAATGCTTGGGTCGCACTTATGTGTGCTTACTGAAATGCGCCGATGTCCTAACTATGTGCCTTCCCCCCGGAGCCTGGCGCCTTGACATGGATGATATCGGGGTTCGGAGCCGCATAGCGAAATCCATACATGTGCCAAGGTGCTCGCCATTTCCTTGGAGTATTTCCTAGACACCCAAGTAGGGATTTGCTCTCATATATTCATCCGTGCGTGAAGATAAGCGGAAATTAATATTATACATATATCCATAAAATGTCTAGAAACAAAAGTGGTTACTAGAAATGTTCAGACATGAACAAGTATATATAAGCTTAAATAAATAACGTTTTGTATTCGCCAAATTATTTATAGTCGCGGAACGAAATTAAGCATATTTGCAAATATAAATACTAATGTGGCTGCAGGTTTTCTAATCTTGGAACACGCAGACGGGCTAGTACTTACTACGTTGCTGAGCTGAATTACGGAGTACGGATGAACCAGTGGCCCTGGATGACACCCCCCCGGTGTGTTGGTAACTTTGCTGATGTGGGCGAGACAATGAGGGAGAAGCCATTTACACACCGGGTTGATATTGAGCCGTACTCCGTTTACTGAAAGATGATGCACCATACGTCCGTAAAAAGGTTGGAGTTGGCAATCCATTTACTGCCTAATAATCCTGGATAATCCACATCAGTCAGTCAGTCAGTTACCTTTTGTGAATGATTGCACATCTTTCTGACTTAAAACACATTCACTTTATCGATATCTACTGCGTAGATGTACTCTAGCAAATATGCAAACAACTGCTCTTAGGAATCAGGCGTCTCGTAGACGGTGTTATACCGTTAGTATTTACAGGCACAATTTGAAGGCTAGTGCTGCAGGAAGATCGATCACCTCGATATGGATTTTTGGCTGAAGGGAAGACGGAAGCAAGCCCCCGCCATTGCATTTAGATATACCGGGAGCAATTTGCCATGTATTTGTGTTACAATAGGAAGAAAATGATACAAAAAGGAACACTGGGTTCCATCGCGGCACCCCGGGGGAAAAAAATGGTTAGAAAGAACGAACATTATTTAACACATTCATCCCTCTTTCAATGTTGAGAAACCTTGGAAGTTATAAAAAACTCTTCATAATAAATACTAGATATGAAAACAGGGTAAAACGCGGACTCAGCAAGACAGTTGTCATAATAATAATAATAACAACAACAACAACAATGATGATGATGGTGATGACAACAATGAGAGAAACACACCCTAGCCTGCCCGATTTTAGTCCATTCCCATGTAAAATGTAGTTTCCCATCCCAGTTTTAAATGCATCCACAGGTAGTTCTCGTAGATACGGAGACCACACCTAATTCACAAAACGCCCATGCAGACCTGTAACAAAAACCCCACCCGAGAAAAACAGGTATTCCCGTGGGGTCGCTAAAATCACACGCTTTTTCAGAAAGCCAGTCTGTAAACGTGCGCCTAAGTGTTGAGAAAATAAATTATACATCCTTGTGATAAAAGTATCTCAAATGAGATCACTCGTAGGTAAATCAGGCAGTAAAGACCTTATCAAGTTGTCTCAACGCCCTCATATCTTCCCCAAATCCAATCTTTTCACTGGGGATGTCTTTCGGTCCATTGCCTGAGCTCACATAGGGTTTTGGGCTTCTGGTACCTGTGCCATTTGCTCGAGCCTGCGGCTGTGATCCGTCAAGAATACTAGACAAGGTCCCGGCGGGGGCAAGTGTCGATGGAGGGAGTGGGCCGTTCATAAGTGCATTGATGCTTGGAACCTTTGTAGCAGATGAAGATGATACAGCGTTGTTATTATTATCTTGGCTGCCATTGTCATGGAGTGGGATGTTCTTCAACGGGGCAGGGCTAGGAGCATGTTTAGGTGAGGTTCCATTAGCCTGGGCGTGGCTATGTGGTGACCCATGAGGGTGGCCGGGAGAACCCATTCTTGGAGCCCCTATGATGATTGGTGGGTGGGACCTTGGAGATCGAGCGGGAGTATAGAAAGGGACAACCTGCCCGCTAGCAGCATTTGGGAGGTGCTGTTGCATTGGAGGCGGGAGTGTAGAGTCGGCTGGATGCACCGATCTTTCGTACGGAGCGGGTAGTTGGGGATGGTGTGGGTGGTGTCCATATGGAATGGATGAATGCCCATCGGAGGCCCCAAGAGGAGGCAAATAGGCAGGATACGGCATGACTGCAACATGTGGTGCGCTTGTAATAGGAGGTGGATGCCAGTTGTACGGGGCGGTAGCATATGGTTGAGCGTGCGCAGCACCGGGCCGAGCGTACGGGAGCGAGTGCGGTGATATTGAAAATCCGGGTCTGGACATAGGGCCACGGGTCACAACGGGTAGATTTTGTTGATCGTTAACACTGGATTCAGGATATAAGCCTTTCTGTGGGCGGATATGTCGCAGAGCTGGATCAGTGGATGGCTGATTCAATCCAGGAGCGGTTGGGTGGGATCGTGCGTAATAGCTTATTAAATGGAGGTGCTGACCCGTAGATGTTGTTATACTGAAGGACTGTTTCATTAATCCATCCGGCTTATAGCGATATCCATCTGGGCCTTCCTCCCCACCCTCTCCGGGATCTTCATCGCTACCTCTATTACTGTCAGGAGTTTTCCCTGCCCTTGACGCCTGCGTACCATGGCCGCCACCTCTTTTCCCTTCCATTTCTCTGTAGGTCAAGAAGCTTCCCGATACCCTGCTTGCGCTCCATGATTTTCCATCTGTCCATCTTCTCATTCCGGCTTCCCGTTCATCCCAAACAAACACAGAGCCAGATTTAACCGCTTGCCTTTCCTTCTCTGATAATCTTCTCTGGACTCGCGGTAAAAGCCCGATGCGGCAGGCTTCGAATAAGATAATAGCATCCGCGGGTGTGCGGACATGTCCGTTATACGTCTCCATCCCCTCTCCTCAGCAGTGAAAAAAGCAAGTTAATACAACCGCCACACACCGAATACGAGGGTCCTTTCGAATATCGTGGGAGTATTTAAACGCGCGAGGACAGCAGGAACAAGGCCAGGAAGTGTGGGAAACCTTCGTGTCTCTAAGCCCCGTATTCACAATCTCTAAACACTAATGATCAGAAGGGGATATTAGCATTATATGCATCAGTTGTTATAGAACGGAGGAGAAGGGCTAATCAACTTGAGCAAAAACGAGCTACTAGTTCGGAGAGAAGTAGTGGTAAAAGCGAAACCAAAATAAAAATAGTCCTCTGATAAGGATTCCGTAAATAAACGACTATGATGAGGGATCAGACAGAAGCTCCATTACGATAGGCAGGATAAAGCTGGAAACTCTCCGCCGAAATTGGGGCTGGATCGACAACCTTGAAAACGGTGAATAAGGGATGTCTAGGGATGTCTAGGTCGAGAATGAAGAGCAGAGAGACGCAAAGGGCTAACAGAATCACCCGGGCAAGTAATCACGCAGTTAAACAGATTATCATAGCAGTATCCCGCGAATTTTGATGGTGGGCTTTGACCACAAGATGGAGGGGCGAAAATCCAAGGATGCATTTCTTTAAATCAAATGAGGGGGAGAAGAGCAGGGCAAGCACGGATAGATATGAGATAATTTCGCAGCATCCGGACGATAAATTTTGCAAAACATACCTTGACTGCTTTCGCTGGGTTAAGATTATGTTAAGCTGATGCGAGATGAGAGATAAAACGAGTATTAGGAATAAACATTTGAAATAGATCAACAGTTGAGAAGGAATACCGTAAAGGTCCTTGAGCACTGCTTAAGTTCAGCAGACCCCGGTAACAGTGAGTGATGTCAGGCAAAGGGAAGTATGGTTTTCGTAGCGCGGTCTAAAACCAAAGGACGGCGAGGGAAGAAGAAACGGAATCTTTGGAGAAAGGTAGATGGAATAAGGTCCCGATGGTTCAGGAAAGGCGCAGCACGTGAGAAAGAGTCTCGCTGATTGGATACGATGCCGACAGTACCGTATCGCGTTTGTATAATACCATACGTCACCAGTACACAGAATATATGTATTGTCATGTATGACACGATACATGGCTGCCCTCAGGGAATGAAATATACATACACTTCCAACTGTGAACAAGAAAAGCGACGTATAATGTACTGTAGATAGAGCTGGGAGGCCATGCGCATTTGACGCTTGGGGTGGTTTACTGCGCATAAATACCCAGCCGCTTACATTTACATACTTTGGTATTTTTGCTTCCAACGTCAGGTAGGGAGGGGGTGGATCAAGTTTGGCCGCCCTCGTTCCTTGGACGGGACGTTAAGCGCTGGGACTCAAATGGGCGCATTCAGGAATGATCTATTGAGGATTTTGTTGAATACCAAAACAACAAACACGTCAAAAATAGCGCAGTCCCAAGGCCGAGTATTGCCAAGCATGACTCGTCCAATACTCCGTAGCATGGAAAGAGAGTACTCCGTAGTAAGCTTTTAGTTGAACCTTATGCAATGCTCCATTTCTTTTATTTTGGCGAACTTAATATGACTAAAGTGCAAGACTGCGGGGAAAACACAAATCACCAACTATGTGGGAGAAGGGGTTTAATGAATCTGAGCAATGAGTTTTTGCTACAAGCTGCATTATTGTTTGGGTGGCCCACGCTCCTTCGGTTCATGGTTGAGCCCGCAACATAGGAAGCTTAAGTTTAAATCCACGCCTTGGTGGACCTGGAGCAGGTAGTACGCAGTACATGCACCATACATTCTTTTGCAGGGGTTAAAGTTAGGCACAGTGTATTGTGCCAACACAGTAAAGAGGCATAACTAACCTTGGAGCTGTAGCGCCATACATTCTTTGCGCGTAATTTGCCCAATTCCTGAACTTTCTGTCCAATAGGCGAGCGAAGATAAGGCCATAAGAATTTCAGTTAGAAAGATCCAACCATGACAATGATAAACCCTGTACAACCTATGGTGCAGTACATACATTACGCTACAGCCAGAAAGCAGAAAATGTGACAGGGTGCATTTTATTACCAAAGGCCTTGTCCTAATTCCGGGCATTGTACAGATTACAGTATGTACTCGATCTCGTCCTGCAAAGCCACTCACTCCATCGAAATCTATTTCTCAGCTTTTTATCCCGAGGACTAGGTATTGCACAGCTCTGATTATTGTGTTCAATCCCTACGAAATGTACACTTCAAACATGGGTTCTGAGATATGTGCAAGCACTAATACAACAGAAGATGAAATAGCTCCACAAGCTGTGGCTGTCAGAAAGTGCAATTTGCATGTTTGTATCTGCGAATAAGCGCCCATCATCTTAACCAAATAAAAATACCAATAAATGGACTTTCGTGGTGTCTCTTTCAATTCTCAGCAGGAGAAGCTAGCAAATGCCTGTTACAGGCGGCTGCCCACAGGATCATGATGATATGGCTGCATGGTATTGTTGAACAGTGCCTCTACAAATAGGATAAATTGCTGACGAATGTTAACACGCAGCGGAAGGCGTATCTCGACTGGCTGGGAATCGCAATCCTTACTGTGGCCTGTATTGTTTTCTGTATCGGCATCAAGAATCCGGTTTGCTGCGCTCCCCGACAAGGTAAAGCCAAGTTGACAGAAGAACGGAGGATTGCACAAGTTAAAATAGTAAGTAATCATTCCTCATAGAATGTGGGTCTACTAGCATCCTGCAGGCTACCTAAAACATTCTATCCAATCACTCTATTTTCAGCTTACCCTTTACCTATCGATATGCCTATTAACTTCTTCTTCTCTGTCGGAAAGAGATCACTCAGGTAACACTAGATTTGTGATATCTGAGTTGAAACATTTTCAAGGGTGACATAAGGTTGCCAAGATGTACCCGGTGTTCAATCGCTCGATCGCCGTGCAGGCTTGAAAACCTATCTTGGAGAAAATTTATCAATATGTCACACTAAATTGCTAAAAAAAATATAGGCGCGCTGACTATTTTGTATCAGCATGGGCCTCCATATGGTCACGGTACATTCACATATTAGTAAAGTTCACTTGCCTCTGAGAAATGTGATCTCCAGAATACAGCTCGCAAGCTATGCAACGCCTGCGCCATTTAAAGCACTCGCTAATATCCTTACTACCAGTAGCTTAGAAAATCAAGAGAGTCAAAGACTGGTCTTGCTCGTAGGATCGGAGGTGAATCCTTCCACGGGATCTGGAGTTTGTCAGCTGAGGCTGAATTTCTAATCTTAGGAAATTT